CGGAAGGCGGCCACTGAAGTCCCGAGCTTAAACCCACCCATTTATTCATCAATTCCAGTTTATTTCAGTGTTACGGTTTATTTAATTGTTACAGCTTATTTAAGTGATGTAGAGAGACCCGGAGGGACGGTCGCATATACAGCACACTGGGACGGTCTGGGAAAGGCACAACATGCCTTGTGGACGGACTAGGTCTCTGCACTGGTCTGGTTTCACAAATAAACTATTAAATAAAGTATTTTAAATAGAAGGTTGGAGGAGACTCCCCTAGGACCGGTCTACCACGAGGAGTACATGTACGTACAGGAAAAGCGTGTTTCACACTGCTTTCTGGAGATGGGCCACAGCCCATGATGATGGAGCATTTCCACGTTTGAGTGCTGGTGGAAGAAGCACTTAGAACCAAACCAGCAGCAAAAGCTCTTTAACTGGTTTAGTTAAACCAATTTTTTAATAGTTTAGAATATTAAATAATGTGTTTATTACTCCTAGTATTTAGAAGTATCTTACAACAGATACAGTCTGTTATCACAATCCCTAAACGCTAAGACAGAAGGTCCAAGGCTGCTCCTTGACACTTGAATGACGAAGGGGAGTCTGTTGATTTCAGTCTTAACATTTGTAGTGAGGAGAGAGAAGGAAAGCCTGACCTCGAGAAGTGCTCTAACTGGAAAAGCTGTCATTTATCCTTTGCTGGTAATTTATGGAAACACACTCTTGAGGTAGAAGTCAGCAGACGCTGTTCTGTGCTGGTGCCAGAGACCGCAGCTCTCTGCGAGAAGGCAAGTATTATGTCCACTATTTTTTCCTCAGCTCATCTACGTCCTCCCTTCTCTAAGGCAAATGGCTAACGTCTTCAAGGTTGGATATAGTATTCTCATTTTTTTAATTTCTTCATTGATTCTAGTGGATTATGCATTTTCTCTCCAAGCACCAAGCCTGGAAGGAGCACTGAAGATCAGAGGCAGCAGAACAGAGGGGAAACCCAGCCGATGCCAGATCCTTCCTTTCTTCTCGATCCGAGGAGAAAATCAATTCAGTATCAGAGTCTGCAAGATGCCTGGGACACTTTGGAATTGGTTCGTCTGTTGAGAGCATTGCAAATGAATGTGCCTGTGTCCATCAGTTTCTGCAGATCCACACCCTTCATGGGGAAAAAAGATACAACATGCTTTGGTACTGGTTCTGCCACATAAAGTCGCCCAGTAACAACTGGCATCACTGGGAGGGACTAGCAGGGGATGAGGGAGCCTTTAAAGGGTACTTTAAGGAGGTCCCGAGTGCCTGCTGCTCACTCGTGCGGTTCTGATAGCGAGGGTCAAATCGCAGAGTGGTGAAAAAAAGAAAGAAGGAAATGCTCCTGGTGGGGTGGGATCGACACGGCAAGACAAGGCCCCCAGTCACAGACACAGCAGTGCCAGAGTGATCCTCCAGCTGCACCCGCTACGCCCAGGCTCCCTGGGCCAAGTTTTGAGCCCTGCTGAAGCCTGAACAGAGCCAGCATACGAGGGGCTGAGGGCGGCAGGCAAAGGCTGCTCATACTTACCGTGTGGATCCCCAGGCCATTCAGCATGTACACCAAGTCCTCCGTAGCAACGTTTCCTGATGCTCCTTGGGCATAGGGGCAGCCTCCAAGGCCAGCGACAGAAGCGTCAACCACGCTCACACCCATCTGCAAACAAAACTACCATCAGTAAACTCCTTTTAAAGGACAAACTGTGGTCCTGGCTCCTCAAATCTATGCTTCACAAGCAAGCAGAGAAGAAACTCGAGGAAAGATGCTATAATTCGAAGCAAGAATCTTACTTGAAGCGCCACCAAGATGTTGGCAAGAGCTTGCCCGTAGGTATCATGGCAGTGAACGGCAAGAGCCCCAACTGGCACCTCTTTCATGACTGCTGTCAGCATCTCCTTCATGCTCCCTGGGGTCCCAATGCCAATGGTGTCACCGAGGGAAATCTCATAGCATCCCATTGAGTACATCTTCTTTGAGACCTGTCCAAAAGCCAAGATGGTTACTGAAAAGGCAGCTTTGTCATTTACCTTCCTCAGAGCTGGAGACCCGCTGTACAGGGGAACCAGAGCACCCTCTTCCCTGGAGCACAACAGCCATGGGAACAACAGACTCTTCTCCCTCAATTCCCCCATCCATTTCAGCTAGCTGTAACCTCCCCCAGTCTTCAGTTAAATGGTTTGACACATCCTCCAGCCCCCAGTTCCCAACTCACATGCATAAAAGGGAGCCAAAAACCTTTCAGAAATTCTGGTTATATTTATCATGAACTCACCTCTGCAACTTTAGCTGCAGATATCTTCCCTTCATAGGGACACCCAAGGACACAAGAAACGTATCTACGGTTAAAAAAAAATACACACCTTTAGCTAGAGAACTTAAGTGAGATTATACTGGCCAAATTAGCCAGGACTTGTGCTGCATCTTGCATGCTCTATACAATGGACAAAGCTTACATAATGAACTATTCAACAATTACTTCTTCCATGGACATGAAAAATTTGCCAAGACAAGAGTACGCAGGACTGCTATGTTTGTGGATCTGTGCATTTCCACGTGGAGTGCCTGCCAGGAAGCTAGTATTATTTTGGATCATTTGTTAAAGCTGAAGGCAGAATAATTACATGAAGGGTGAACCCGCATCTGGACGAGTGTAAACTGTCACAAGCTTTACACCAAGCCAGCATCTGAAACAGTGTTAGTGTGGTAGCGTTTCCAAATTAACGGTTCTCCATGCACTGAGCTCACATCAGCTTGCACCCATCCGGGTAGAGAGACACCCCCCCCAAAAAAAGGTAAAGTTTAAAAGAAACCCCACTCCTCAGTGCTGCACAGGCTGGACTCCAGAGAGATAAACACAAGCAGTCACATCTCTCCACACGACCTGCTCGATGCTAAGCTTGCAGCAGGAACTTCTTACCCCCTGACAGGAATGCTGGCTGCTCTTGCTGCGGACATCACTTCATCAAATCTCTCCAAACTCTCCTCTATGGAACAGTTGATGTTCTTCTTAGTGAAGAGCTCAGATGCTGCTCCGAAAATTGACACTTCTTTGGCCCCTGCTGCCACCTGCCAATAGACAACATAAATTAAAGTAAGCTGATTTCTCTTGCAAAGGGAACAATAAGCACGATCCTGACTACAGTTCTTTCATTTTATAAAAAATATTTTTTCCCCAATTTTTCTCTGAATAACCAAATTCTTTCCTCAGTTCATTCTACAGCAAAAACATGACAACACATCCCAGTTTGTCTTCAAAAAGAAGTGTAAAGCTACATCTGCTGGGTGTAGTCAGGAGAGCTGTGGGACATGCAGATAAGACTGAAAGCATCACTGTCGATTAAAATAGATTACTTTTTTTTTTAATAACAGAAAATGTGTCAAGTTATTTTCTATTATAAACAACAGACTTCTATTTCCCCAGCAAAATGATCCCTTGTAAAGGAACTACAAGACGAGACCGCTGCCTGCCAGAATGAAAGATGCATTTCCCACCCCTAACCACAGTTGAATTGTTTTGTCCCAGGCAACCCTGCGCATCCAGCACTGTGAACATTCAGGCACTGCCATCTCTTACCGCTGCCTGAAATCCTTTCAGATTAGGAGTCAGCACAGGATAACTAATACCGGGCAACTTATTAATTCCTTGCATGACTTCAGTATGGTCAGCCATCTGCAAAAGTAAACAAGGGAAGGTTCCTAAGGGTGACAACATCCACTTCCGCAAATTCTGAAAGAATTTTTAAAATCTATTTTTATGAACTGGGACAACAATACTCAGGAATAAGAATCGCGCCTCTAAAGAGCAAACAGCACTGCGTCCTGTGAAGGACTGCAGTTCAGTCACCCAGCCTAGCCAGCGCCGACCAGCTGTTTGCATCTGAGCTGTATGTTTGCTCTTTCACAGGGTCCAAAGGGAAGACCTGGAATATTGCAAGCCCCTTTATTTGGTTTGCTGCTTCTTGCCCAGTTACAAGCCACCATAAGAAGGATTCTGGAACATGAAAAATCTTGGCATTGGATTACAATCTATTATCAGGCATTTTTATAACATACGATTGTAAATCCTGTTTGAATACTGACCTGAGGAACCCACTTCGGGGAAACAAAGCTGGTGGCCTCTATAACCTGAAGCCCCGTCTCTGACAGCATATTGATTAAATTGATTTTCACCGGTGTCGGTACAACATTCTAAGAAGGAGAAGAAAAGAAAAACGACCTTAAGTTATTATTGTCACAATAAACTTTTCCACCACTCCAAAAAACCTCCAAAACTTATCTTCCAACATCAAAAAGCAGCATTTAAAAAAAAAAACGAAACCCTGCGGCGGGGCACAACGGCACGTTGCGGGTGTCTGGTCAGAGAACCCGCAGCGAGGTGCTGAGGGAGCCCCGCGGGAGCCCGGGCCCGCCCGTTACCTTCTCGTTCTGGAGCCCGTCGCGCGGTCCCACCTCCACCACCTTCACACGCTTCGGGAAGGTTCCAGCCG